GAGTGGTAGAAGAATTTTCCCGCAATGATATGAGTTGAGTTGATGTTTCCATTAAATTTCACATAGCCTTTCTTTCCCATAACTTGTTCTCATCCACGGTTGACTGCAGCTTCGACCTCGCATTGGTCTTATCAACACCATCAGCGGGAGTCGGACCGAGACAGTGCAGGATGGGGCTTGACACGCTAACCAGTCGGCTACACTGCCACGAGCGCCTTTTGAGTCACAGGGCAAATGTGAATTTTCAAGGAAGGCCAGGCCCTTTTGCCATATCATATCCTTTGGTTGGATTTTAGATGAATCAAACGTATATTTGCTATGACAATCGACTACTATACTTTTTTTTCGCATTGAGTACTGTTTCGAGACTACCAGTAATATGAGATGTATCCACCCAATTTCGTTTAAGGGGATGAAGGACTGTTAGAAAAATTTTCCCACAATGATATAAGTTGAGCTGACGTTTCCATTTAACTTCACTACATTTTTACACTTTAGAACAAACTCGTCGTAAGATAGAAGAGTGAGTAGGTTTTCGAGACTACTCGTAAATCAGATATATGAATTGGGTTCATCCTATTTAGCTTAAGATGATGAAGTATTGGTAGTTGAATTTTTTCACAATGATATGAGTAGGCCTTACGTTTCCATTGAATTTCACATAGATTTGCTTTCAATAAGGTTTTATCATACGGGGTGGACTTCAGCTTCGTGCTTGCATATATCTTATAAACACCCCAAGCGGGAGTCGAATCCTGGCAGTCTGGCGTGTAGGGTCGGCATTCTAGCCACTGCCACGAGTGTTCTTTGGTCACAGGGCAGACTTGAATTTCAAGGACTGTCAAGCATTTTCCATATCACATTCTATATTGTGATTGACGATTAAGCAAACTCATATCATATTGTTGTGGAAAAATTCAACAACCAGTCCTTCATCACTTTAAATGAAAAAGGTCGAGCCCGACTCATGATCTGATTTACTGGTAATCTCGAAAACCTACTCATTCATGGAAAAAGTAATCTCGTCGATCGCTATAGCAAATATAAGTTTGCTTCATCGGCAATCCCAACACAGGATGTTATATATAAAGGACATGACATTCCTTGAAATTCATATTCGCCCTGCAGCACAAGGGCACTCGTAATATGAAGTAGTGGTTAACGTGTCGAGCTTACATATTGCACTTTAATGGTTCCACTCCCCCTGGGGTGTCAGCCATCTTGATGATAGCAAAAGCATTATATTCTATCGATAAAAGCCGTAACCTGGATCCCTTTTCTTTACCATAGTATTGTATACTATTCAACAAACCGGCTCTTTCTTAGAGAGCAAGTCTAACACAATATTGCTTTCGTCAAAGTATTCTTTTGTTGGTTCGAGTTTATCTAAACACTCTTCGACAACAACCTACCTAACGTGTTGAGTGGAATTACTCGCTTAAACTCCTGTCACCCCCAATGTTACGTTTTTCCATCATTCGATTGGTTTCATTTATTACTCCTAGGTCCGTAAATTAATGTTACCATTAACAGCTATTTAGATAAAACGCGCTTAGTGTGCAGCCCTTTAAACCCTGCCCCTTAAAATCTCTTATTATTATTTGATGGGCAGGAGAAAGCCAGATTCGGCGGCACTACGAACCCAGTGCATCTTATTGGATAAAATAAATCTAGTGTTTTCCAAGTTAGCCTAAACTAGCTGTATCAACCTTTAATTCGAGCCTCTTGGCATTCCCGACGATTACCAGCACTTAATAGTTACATATTTTTTGTTTACCTTAATTTGTTGCGTATTCCTGATTGAGGGGCCACAACAAATGGGGAAAAACGACCAGCTCAAGCTTAATTAGTAAACTAAGAAATTGCGAGCGCGCACACACAAGCCTGTCTGGAGAGCTTAATGTCCGAAATTAAATAATGATCATGAGGCCCAGCACATCAACATTAGCCTCTAATCGTACCCTTTTAGTTGAGGCAATTTGATGTCATAGGCAGCTAGGTACAAATAAGCGGCAGCAGCCTCACTCAAATCAGAAAATTGACCAAGCGATTTTATTGATAGATGCACTTCTTTTGCATTACATCAACATACTATTTTTGGATAAAGCATTCAAGCTAATAAAACCTTTCCGTGCATTAATTGCATTGGACATAAGATGCCAGTCCTATCACTTTCTAGAAATGACTAACAAATTGGAAGTTTGTGACAAATTAATTCATTTTACCTTTGATTAGGGTTGTGGCAAGAGAAACCAGCGGAAATCGCTGATAATAATGCTAAGGGGTGTGACTGAATAATTCAGGGAGTCGCTGCAAATGCTGTTCAGACATATTGCTTGGCACGATGCCTGACCAATTCGTAAAATTAGCTTGCGCAAATTGTGGCAGTCATGAGGCATTTACAGCGCGACCGTTAAGGAAATGAGAATATGGGATTTTCTGCTAACGATTTCCTATCCAAAACCTTAGACATGCAAAAACAAATGCACGTATAGAAGGTAAAAATGGTTTAGACGTTCATAGAGCGTAAATTTTTAGGCTAGCAATTGTCATAAAATCCATTAGCTAATGATCACATCTAAGTATAAAAAAAACAAGAAATCAAGAGATTATATGATCTTAGACTGAAATTGAAAGCACACGGGAGTGGATTCAAATTCACAAGTGGATAGCACCGACTTTGGAAATGGGCCTTTTCTTAGTTATTTCTTTAATCTTTGTCCGAGAAAGGGCCATATTATTGCTCCGACTAAAAGGATAAGGATTAGGAACTAGCTTACTTTTGTTTTGGTTTATCCTTATTCGCTCTGGCTTTCTTAGACATACATTTGATCTGACGGTCTCTGTAAGCATTCTATCAAGCATGTCTCATGATCTTGGTTACGTTTTTAGCCGCAATTGATTCGATTAGTTTATCCTTCTTTTTTTGAGCCATTAACTCCTTATAATTGATATAAGCTCGTTTTGGAGGCTTAGCTCCCATTTTAAGAAGAAGTTCTTTTCGGGCTTTCCGTCGTTCTTCCCCTTTTGTAATCGAGATCTTGTGCCTCAGTATATCATAGGGCAAATCCTTAATACTAACATAAACACCAGTATCCTGTAAATTATGATAATATAAAGACAATCTACCTCGGATGAGGGTCGGGGCCTGGGCATTTAAGGTAATAGAAGGGAACGATCTATGAGTCAAATGTGTAGGGTAAGAGGTTGAAGTGATATAAAGTGCGAAAAAACGAACAAGATTGTACC